AAGAATTATTAAATTAAAAAGTTGAAAGCTGAAGACCACTTTTGGGCACAAACACACAGAGAGCTGAAAGCCCACTATACTTTCTTACTTCAGTGTGATACAAAAGTAAAAATCTCACAAAACAACTGGAGAAGTTGATTCTTAAATAGGCAACACTTTTCATTTCCACTGACAAAATCAAGAAGCATTTTTTAAAAAGTGTTACACTGGCTTAAAATATCATTCAAGTGTCTTTAGGGCTCACATTAAGAATAGCAGAAACCTCACTGAAGAATGGACATACAGTGATTCCTCTAATGAACTGTAATTGTTCAAACAGCATATGCAGTTTTATTTGTCCAGTCCAGGTAGCTGTGGAAATCAGTGGGTTTATTGTGGACATTAATGACACAGTCTTTCCCAGAAACGGAAACAGAGATGTCAAGGAAGGGGAGGGAGGAGTCAGAGATGGACCAGGTGAAACTGAGAGTGGGGTGGCAATCGGAAGCAAAATCGATGAACTTTTTCACAATTTTGGATGACAGAGGGAAGCAGCACTGATGTTATCATTGACATGTCGGAGAAAGACTTGAGTGGGGGCCAGAGTAGGACTGGAACAAGGAATGTTCCATGTACGCCACAAAGAGACAGGCATAACTGGGGGAGAGAGATAGCAGGAACTGCAGATGCTGGAGAATCCGAGACAACAAGGTGCAGAGCTGGATGAACACAGCAGGCCAAGCAGCATCATAGGAGCAGAAAGGCTGATGTTTCGGGCCTAGACCCTTCATCAGAAATGGGGGAGGGGAAGGGGGTTCTGAAATAAATAGGGAGAGAGCGGGAGGCGGATAGAAGATGGATAGAGGAGAAGATAGGTGGAGAGGAAACAGACAGGTCGAAGAGGCGGGGATGGAGCCAGTAAAGGTGAGTGTAGGTGGGGAGTTAGGGAGGGGTAGGTCAGTCCAGGGAGGACGGACAAGTCAAGGGGGTGGGATGAGGTTAGTAGGTAGGAGATGGGGGTGCGGTTTGAGGTGGGAGGAGGGGATAGGTGGGAGGAAGAACAGGTTAGGGAGGCGGAGACGAGCTGGGCTGGTTTTGGGATGTGGTAGGGGGAGGGGAGATTTTGAAGCTTGTGAAATCCACATTGATACCATTGGGCTGCAGGGTTCCCAAGCGGAATATGAGTTGCTGTTCCTGCAACCTTCAGGTGGCATCGTTGTGGCACTGCAGGAGGCCCAGGATGGACATGTCATCTGAGGAATGGGAGGGGGAGTTGAAATGGTTCGCGACTGGGAGGTGCAGTTGTTTATTGCGAACCGACCGTAGGTATGGCCCTTGTGGGTACCCATTGCCAGCCCTCTGACCTGAAGAAAATGAGAGGAGTTACAAGAGAATTTGTTGAGGGTAAGGACGAGCTCAACCAAGCAAAGGAGGGTGGTGGTGGCTGGGGACGGTTCAGGCCTTTGTCGCAGGAAGAAGCGGAGAGCCCTGAGACCATCCCAGTGGGGGACGGATGTGTAAAGGGATTGCACGTCCATGGTAAAGAGGAGGTGGCTGGAGCCTGCAAGCTGGAAATTCCAAAAAGGTGGAAAGCATTAGAAAAATTGCAGATGTATGTGGGCACCGACTGGACCAAGGGAGAAAAGACTGAATCAAGGTAGGAAGAGATGAGTTACGTTAAGTTCATAAGGTACCAGGACCTGATGAGATACATCAAAGAATACTGAAGGAAGTGAGACTCTAGACTCAGAGGTGGTGCTAGGGTCTGAAGAATTGCAAACAGTTTGCCCTTGAGCAAAAAATATTGTAAAGATAGGCTCAGCGATTACAGAACAATCAGCATAACTTCACTGATGTGAAAGCTGGGTGTGCAGGTCCACAGGTCACTGAAGGTGGCAGTGCAGGTAGATAAGATAGCAAAAGAGGCTTATGGCATGCTGGCCTTCATTGGAAGGGGCATTGAGTACAAGGATTGGCAAGTTATGCTGCAGATTTACAGAACTTTAATTAGGTCACACTTGGGAAAACTGCGTACAGGTCTGGTCACCACACTACCAGAAGGATATGGATGCTTTGGAGAGGGTACAGTAAATGTTTACCAGGATGTTACCTGGTATGGGGGATTTTAGCTATGAAGAAAGGTTGGATAGACTGGGTTTTTTTTTCCCACTGGAACGCAGGTGGATGCGGGGCGACCTGATAGAAGTTTACAAGATTGTGAATGGCATGGATAGAGTGGGAAATATGAAGCTTTTTCCCCAGGGTGGAGGAGTCAATTACTAGGAGACGCAGGTTCAAGGTGTGAGGGGGTAAGTCTAAAAGAGATGTGGTGGTGAGTGCCTGGAACACATTTCCAGAGGAGGTGGTGGAAGCAGACACAATAGCAGCATTCAAGAAGCACCTGGATGAATACATGAATAGGAAGGGAATAGAGGGATACGGATCCTGTAAGTGAAGACAGTCTTAGTATGGAAGGGCAAAATGTGGTGGCATAGGCTTGGAGGGCCAAAGGGCCTGTACCTGTGCTGTATTGTTCTTTGTTTAAAACTTCTAGAAATATTCATTCAGGATAGGACTAATAGTCACAATGAAAAATATGGATTAATTTGCAAGAGTCAGCATTGACTTAAGGGAAAATTGTGTCTAACTAACTTGAAGTTTATGAGCAGGTAACAGAGAGGGTTGATGGGAAAATGCTATTGATATGGTGTACCTAGACTTCCAAAAGACCTTTGAAACACTGCAGCACAATAGACCTGTGGGGAAAGTCATAGCTCATGGAAGAAAGGGACAGTAGCAGCATGCATACAAAACTGGCTTGAGTGATAGGAATCTGAGAGAATAGTTAATGGGTAATTTCAAGCTAGAGGAAAGTTTGTATTGGAGACCCCCCAGGGGTCAGGCTTTAGGACCCATGCTTTTTCTTGCTTTCTTGTTTAGCCTTAGGGTGCAATGTACAATTTCCAAGTTTGTGGATGACACAGAATGTGGAAGCACTGTAATCTGTCAGTACAACAGTGTTGAACTACAAAAGGACATAGACAAATTGTTGGAGTGGGCAAGTGGGTAGAGATAAAATTCGATGTTGATAAGTATGAGGTGATACATTTTGGTATAAAGAACATGGAAAGACAATGTAAGATAAAGGGAACTATTCTAAAGTTGTGCAGAAGCAGATAGACCTACATGTATATGTGCATAAGACACCAAATGTGTTAGGACAATTTGTGAGTGTTGTTAATAAAGTACACAGTATTCTAGGCTTCATTTATAAGGGCACAGGGTACAACAGCTGGTGGTTAAGCTGAACTTTTATACGACACTGGTTAGATCTCAGCTGGAGAACTGTGTACAACTATGGATACCACACTTCAAGAAGATGAGGAATGCATTGGAGAGAGTGCAGAAAAGTTTTACACAAATCAGGGAAAAGAAACTTCAATAAAGGGGTTTAAAAAATTGGAGACTGTTTAAATTTGTGCTGTTTGATTCTTCATCATCTTATGAGCAGGAGGAGCCGTTGCTCCCTATCCAAACTGCCCCAATACCTCATGATTTACAAACAGTCTATCAAATCTCCTCTTAACGTACTTTTCCCCATGGAAAACAGTCCCAATTTCTCTAAGTGTGAAGTGGAAAAAAATACTCTTCACAAACCAAACAGTTAAGATCTAGAATGCTCTGCCTGGAAGTGTTGGTGGAGGCAGGCTCCACTGAAGCATTCAAGACGGAATTTGATGATCATTTAAACAGAAACAACATGTTCGGCTACAGGCAAAAACACAAGAGATTGGTATTGAGTCAGACAGCCCATCAGGCAATTCTGGAAGAACAATGATGATTGAAAGAGCAGCGAGACAACTATCAAAACTGTGCAGTGATGAGTGTCAGCTAGAAACACACAAATAAATAATTAGATACCGGCAAACAGGTATAGAATATGCAAGCAGCCCAGATCATACAAAGTCATTACTGATCATGGTGCTACATTATTTCAGGACAATAATCATAATGTGATACAGACACCTGGAGCATTAACTAGTTGCATTGGTTTCTTGAAGCTTCTTCCTACCTCACACAAGGACAAATGAACAAGCCTGTTAAAGATTTACCTATTCTTCCAATAAACATCCTCGTCCAATTATGTTATTAGCAAGGGACAATCATTAAAATTTACTAGATGGAATTTTTTTTTCTTTATTCATTCACAGGATGAGAGCATTGCTGGCCAGGCAGCATTTATTGCCCATCCCTAATTGCCCAGAGGGCAGTTCAGAGTCAACCACATTGTTGTGGGTCTGGAGTCACATGTAGGCCAGATTGGGTAACTACAGCAGATTTCCTTCCGTAAAAGGACCAGATGGGTTTTTCCGACAATCAACAATGGATTCATGGTCATCATTAGACTCTTAGGTCTAGATATTTATTGAATTCAAATTCCACTGTTTGCCGTGGCGGGATTCAAACCCAGGTCCCCAGAACATTTTCTGGGTCTCTAGGTTAACAGTCTAGCGATAATATTACTAGGCCATCGCTTCCTCAGAGGAGGGACTTTTGACAGCAAGCCTACAAATTCTCAATACACATTCCAGGCAGGAGACAGTCCCTGCAGATTTAATGAAATTAAGCTCTGAAACTTCCATCACTTAAAACCTGCTTATTTTGATTATCTCTATATGCTCTCTTTATCATTTTCAGTCCATATCTTGTTAATGAAGATAATTGACTTCCTTTGATTTGAGGGTAGTGAATGTTGCTTTTTGGTGGCAAAGCAGGGTAGGAATATTATATTCTTTACCCTTGTATGTAAAACCAATTAACTAACCCTAACTGAGCCTTAGAAACCCATAATCCATAATTAAATTATACTAAATTATGGAAGAATTTCTTGAGTTCTTTGGAGAATCAGGTCGTTGGAAAACAGCTTGGTAAAATAATGACTGTCCTATAAAGCTCTAAAGCAATGTATTAATATTTTGACATCCTAACAAATCCAAATCCAACTCTTAAGAGGCCTTTAAAACTACACACCCATGTTCCACTTTTGAATGGCTAATCACAGTGAAAGCATCCCTAGCCGATTTATTGTAAATTTATCTAATGAGTAATGTTAAAGGATGATCCATTCCGTGAAAATCAAAGTGTACTACGTGAAATTCAATATAGTTGATACGAATTTATAGGTAGGTCCACCCAAGTCATAGAAGGATGTTGAATTTCAGCTACAAGTCCCAGTGTGGACCTGGAGAATCCCCTTACTATGCATGTGCAGAAAGTTGAAGATCTCAGTAGTCATCTTGTGGAAACCAGGCCGAGGTTTGACATTGTCGTAGTAATGGTGGGTGATGTAGAAACCCGAGGGGTCCATTGAAAATGCCCAAAACCCATAAAGATGGACCTCTTCACACAGCTCCATGGCAGCTGTCACTAACATTAAGCCACTGCTCAGTCGTTTGGCTCTGAGCCCCTGTCTCATCCAGAAACGGGAGACGTTCTCAATATATCGCGGATGGAAGTAGAACATGGATTGTTGAGACTCAAAATCATCCAGGACGTACTTGACCCTGAATGAAACATCTGTGTTGCGGGTATTGTAGAAAGCTGGCATAACCACAGATGCATTTTCATAGGCTCGTAGGACTTCATAAAATGGTCGTCTCCACTTCTCCAGTTTTTGGAATCTAAAAGCAGAAAACACAGAGCCCTCAGTTTGTTTTAAAAGTTTTGTTATGAGCAATGAAAACATCGCTCATTACTGTTTGTTTCCAGTGCTAATGTCCTGAACCATCACCACCGCTCACCCATCCCATGTCAGCCGCAGCAAAAGCACAATGCAAGTTAAAACAACTTCAGCTGGAGCATCTGTGCTAAAAGAGCAGACAGTGCCAGCCTAAAAATATCACCACTTCCTACTCCCAGTACAGTTCTGTTTTCATCAGGGTGGCCAGCTTCAGCTGAGGGCCTCCTTGTTAGGAGCAAACCGAGACCATGACCTGCTTTGAGGGCTACAACTCAATTCTGAAATTTCCAATAGCTGGAGCCTGAAACATCATTAAAGGCAATTTATTGAATTTCAATGGCTGCATACAATGAGCAAACTCACCTCTCAGTTACAATACTTGGATTTATTGTCACAATATCAGTCTTCAGTCCAACATCTGTGGCATACTTTTCAGAAATTGGTGGCAAATTACATCTAATGTTAAGAGGTGACAGTAAAATAAATAGTTGGCAAAGTTATTCTTTCACGCTGTTTGAAATGTAAACTTCTACTCACATGTTCAATGCATTACAGCGCAGTAATGCTTGCTGAGCACTAAAGAGGCATTGTTATTCTACATTAGTGTAAACGTTGCTATACTCTGTCGATGATGGATGAAGGGCTTTTACTGCACTGCAACAGCAATGATAGACCCTGCAATTAATTTGTTTATAAAGCATTTACATCTCTTGACCAGATTTCAGCCTATCAATTTCTCCAACGGTCCTTGGAACCACATCCTGTGTGAGGCAATGCTTTTCTAAGGGGAAAGAGGAGATTCTCAGTCATAGCATATGTAGCTATGTCATAGAAATTTTCACTGTATTGGCCAGGCTACAGTTTCATGTGAAGCAGGGTGCAGCCTGCAGTGGCATAGCCACAATGGTAGGGTTAATGTCATAGCAGTTCCCATACGATAGTACCCAATCCATAGGGATATATATCCCTGGGGGGTCTGTAGGAGCAATCATCCAATACTGTATTGAAGGTCCATGGTGAATATTTGCCACATATTTAAAAATAACAATGATTAATTTTTCAGTGTGTTGGTGTGCATACAAGGACAAAAACATTAGGATTCACCGTGGTTTGTTTTGACATTTGTTTTTCACCTTCAAATAGAAGGGCAAATGGTGAAGAATGGTCTGGGGTTTCTTGCAGAGTACAGATCTGTGTGCCTTTTGGTCAGCAGTGACACAGACTACTTTGAAATTCTACACAGAGGACCCATGTCTATCCTAATGCATGGAGCCAGCAAAGTCACTTCAAGCACTTGCAATTACATGACCTTTAGTCTGGAGAAAAAAGGCAAGATGAGCACCAATGACTTTCTGAGACCTGTGGAATTCTGGCAGGAGATGAACTTACAACATTTGGAGCATGGGGTGAGGTCATGGGGGAGCTGGTAGGTGTGGTGCATACTTGTGCAACTGCTCCAATCTGCTCGCACCAACTATTGACCATGGATTCTGAAAGACGTTCATGTGCGTGGGCTAGCTCCTTCAGAGATGGAGTAACACGTCGCTCACTCTGTGTGAACAGAGCCTACATACTGAAAGAAGCCTGGACCCTGGATCATGCTGCTCCACAATGGAGCTGTCCAAGGCAGGAAAGGCTGGACAATTCCACATATAATATGGTACAAGGAGGGAAAGCTTAATACACTGGACTAAGAAATTCAGTTTAAAAAATACTCCTTAAACGTTCCTTTGAAAAAATTCAATCACTGAATGAGAAGGTCTATAAATTATTTAACATTGCACTAACAAAATATATCATTTTTTAATATGAATGGGAGTTTAATGGCACAAATATTACAAGATGTTATGAAAAAACCCAATTGATTTGTTTACAGATACACAATTCAAAAGAAGTTAACGTTCATATAACATCTTTAATACATAAAGAACAACATAGAAGCTCATAGAATAGAAGTTCATAGAACCCCTACATAGTCAGGAACTTCACAAATGGAAGCTGGATGGGAAAGGAAAGCTAAATAAAAAGATGGTTTTTGAGAAGAATTTTATAAGGACTTGTAGGAGTGGTTGGAGAAGGAAAATGGAATTAATGTCATCAGCAGGTGAGATTGCAAGAATCAGCCAGAGCACTGAAGGATATGATAGAAAGTAATATAAAACTTGGAAAAAAAATGTACAGGTAGGATACAGCAGGGCCATGGAAGAATCTGATAAGAATGGATCATTGAAATTTAACATGCTCTAAGACAGGGGACCAATATAAATCAATAATGGATGAATGGGATTTAATACAGAATAGGATGCAGGTTGTTATGTTTTAGCCAATTTGTACAGGATTGGAGGACATGAAGTCCAGGGATGACTAAAAATGATTAAGGGTTTCAGTTGCATACAGACAGCAGTTTTGCACAGTTTTTGATAATAGTTTATAAATTAGGTTCAAAGTTAGGCTTACTATCAATGGGCAAGGGTTCATACAATTTGTTCCGTCTGAGAAGGAAGTAAAATCAAAACTTGAAGGATTTTGTGAGTTTCCCCTTACTTAGCATTAGGATCATTGCCTTTTTGGTTAAAAATAAATGACTTGGACTGGTAAATGGACATTTTCTCTGCTGTAAGATTCTATACTTCTAAAGGTTTCTCTGCCAGTTTCATAATTCAAAATATTACGGTGTGAAGTGACAACAGACAGAGAGATCATTCCCATAGTCCGACCATTAGCAAAATAATGGAAAACAGTGATCAACCAAAGTTAAAGAAGGGTAGAACTGGGGCAACAAATGCATTGTTCAACTCAAATGTGGATTTCCATTACCCTTCTATATGCAATTTATTAAACAATTTAGAACTCAAATTGTCAGCTAGTATTCCACCATTATGTAGCTAAAGATTGAAATATTGTCCATCTGTAGCATAAGGAAATGCTCAGTTCCATCGTACCTGAACACAAAGTCTGCAGAGTCAATCTCATTCCCACACCTACTGTTCTTCAGGATTCCTCCATTCCCAATCACTGCACATTTCTTAAACTGGGAGCGCGTAAATGGCATTTCCTATGAAGAAGAAACTCTTTATTGTAGTTAAAAGAATGCAGAAATGGTGGATGCTGAAAATCTGACATGCTTCCTGACCTACAGAGTATTTCCATGAAACTCCAACAAGCGTAGACAGACACATCTGCATATATGTGCATGCATACCTACATACCTTTATAGGTTTGTGTGCATATGTGTAGATTTATTGTCTGTGAATATATTTGCATCATTTATGGATATATATACACTGAACACATTTATATATGTATTTATACACAGAAGTTTCCACATTTGCATAAAAGTTTTAAATATGGACACAGTAAATGTATTTCATACATTACAAATTGTGTTCATAAAAATACAGAAGAGCTGTGTTTTATTCTAATGGACATGTGCTTTAGCCAATTCTCATTGGTATGAAACTTCTACAGAATATTTTTTCTATCAACAATGTCAATGTGCTGGAGATCACAGCGGGTCAGACAGCATCCATGGAGAGAAAGCAAGCAAATAGATATCTCTTCATCACAGCTGAAGTGAAGTGTGGAAGGGGCAGCTTTTATGTAATTGTTGAGGGTGGGGAGGAGGTGCTGGGGGAGAAAGGATGTTGATAGTTCAGATTAAGTTATCAGAATTTCGAGAAACAATGGTGTGTCTAACGGCCAGACTGGAAATTTTTAGATATTTTTAGAGACAATTTAATTAGCTTATTGTAAATACAGGCAACACCAGCCCAAACATTGTGCAAGAGTAAAGCAAAACAAGTGTGCTGCATTCAGACCTTTAATTTGTCACCTGTAAAATATACCCCTATAATTTCCTGACAATGATATGCAAAGGCAACGTTTTGTAGTATTAGCAAGCTCTGCTTTGATCTGAAATTGAATCTTGCAATGCATACAGATTTTCAGCTAGATATTTACCTGCAAGTTTTTTGGTGGATCTGGTGCCATCCTAAATTTGGAGAAAGGTTTTTCTTGGAAAAGATACAGACAACTGTATTGTGAAGTATTTGGTATCCACTGATTCCCAAACTTGAAGCTGTATGCTTAGATCTGGGTGTACCTACTGGAGCCTGTGTGGCAAGACCTTATGCCATGACCATCTGCACCATCTACTCAAGCACACTCTATAAACTAGTTAATATTCGCTATTACCATAGGGTGCAGATTTACCAAGACGATGTGGGACTTCAGTTATGTGCTGAGATTCGAGAACCTGGGACAATTCTCCTTAAAGTAGCAGTGGTGAAAAAATATCATTCAAAATTATGAGGTTTTTCTACTTGTTCAAACTGTTTCGTCTGGTAAATGAGTCAGCAATCAAGGGTCATTGATTTAAAATGAAGGTCAAAACAACTTGAGAGGAAGTAAGGGAAAAATGATTTCCATACAGCTAAAATTTGGTGTTTACTATCTGAAAGGGTGGTGGAAGTAGACTCTATAGAAATATTCAAAAGGGAATTGTACAAATACTTCAAACAGACTATTTAACAGGGCTGCAAGGGAAAAAATACTGCAATGAGGGACTAAGGTTCATAGTCTAAAGCCTGAAAGCAACTTGCAGCCCAGATTGCCTCTTACTATGCTGTGAGGTTCTATGATTTAAGATGTTCATCAATTTTCCCTAGAAGGAAATTCATGATATCATAACACTTCTATGAAATGGTAGATTTTCTGAAAGTAAAAGAGGATCATTGATGGTACACGCAAACTCTTTGCTTTTATGGGTATGGAAAGTTTCTGTTAATGTTCAGTTGATTGCAGAACATAAGAATCAGGTCATATAAGTATATGCCCGATAGCCTAGAAACAACTAAAGTGACTTATTGGAAGGTGCAAAGGGAAAACAGAATTATCCACTACAGTCAAGGTGACAAGTTAGCTAAAGAAGGAAGTTCCCACCCCTCCAGGGCAGGTTCTACCTGATCCCGTTGTAGAGTTTAAAGCTGTGTTTAAAGTAACTGAACCTGATATTTGTGAGTGACTGGACCTGTGTCCAGCAACATCAAAGCCCAGCATCTGTGGAACTGTCCCACGTTCACAATCCACACCATAGGCTCATCTAATGCGCATCCAAACTCAGGAAGATAACTCCTCTCTGATGATGGTTTGTAATATTGAAAGTTACCTGGTTCTCAGTTTGGCTCCACAGTCATTTCTTCCACGTGAAATGAACAAGACTGTACACAATCATGGACAAAGTAACTTGTTCATCTGTTAAGGCTTCCAGTTGGACACAAAAGTGAACAAAAGTTGAACTGGTTTCATATTCATCAGCTAAAAACCGTGAAAGAATACGTATTTCACCTCTTTTAGCTTCAGATTAATCAGGAAGGTGTTTCAGCTGATGGAACTGAAAATGGAATTTATCAACATCATTCCAACAACAGGGCTTTCCTTTTAGGAATCAGGTCGTATATGAATAACCACTGCAAATGAAACTACAGAAGATAGACATTCTACCTCAGGACTATTTAGTATGATTATTTATTGTAAATATTGCAAATGGGAATCTGATGTATTAGTATTAATACGCTGAGAATGAAACAGTGGTGTACAATTTTAAGATCCACATTTTACTTCAAACCCACTCAGATCACACAATTTGACAGTAACATTTTGTTTCTAGCTTCAGCCTTTAACATTTAGCTTAGAGTCCATTCTGAAATCCAGAAGGAGGTAATAGTTCAGCTGGGATATCCAAAACCCACACAGTCCTTAATGATCTGTAATTTGGTCTGTAAGTAAAAATGATAATGAAAAGGATGACTATATCTCAGAATTACTAATAAAAAAGCAAAACAGAGAGAGAGAGAGGGACACAGAGAGACAAAGGAATTAGAGACCTAGGAACTAAATCTTGGTGCGAAACTATTATAAATGTGGGCCTGCATCCTAGTTAAGAATGCTGTCCATAATGTTTCCATTGATGTAAATGGTGGCAACATTGCAATACTTCTTACATTCTACTACCTGAAGACACCTTACCTCAAGACTTCAAAAATGCACCACTAATTTGACTTAGACTGCTATTAAAGCCAGAAAAGAGCACTCCTGCTCATCATCTGGAAGTGGCTGAACCCCCACTACAGCCTGCTCGTCAGCCACTTTACCTTCGGAAACAACTGGAAAACTTCAGCATCGATGAAGAGGAAGCCACTGCTGTCTACTTCATACTTCAGTTTAATGCCCTTGGGGGTGTTCTTCTGTGTCGTAAATAGAAACACTGGCGCATTGCAGCATCGAGTCAAATGAGATCTGAGTAAAGACAGATGATGGAAACACAAGTCGAGTGATTTTGGAGCTCATATGGACAGCTTAGAAATCAACCTGACTATCAGGGAAGACTGATACACAGTGTAAGATCACCAGCCGATAAAGAAAGATAGTTGGAGAGATATTCCAGAATCTGTACCCGGCCTGGCCACAGTTTGAGTTCAGGGATAAGAATTCAAGTCTCAGACGGGAAGGTAGGGAGTAACAGCACCTTCTTAAACAGCTTCCTTTCCTGTACGGCAATTCCCCTCAAAAAAAACCTGCCTATCACAACTGCTCCTCCCTCCCCGGTTATTCCATCAAGATCCCTACCCCTTCTCCTCATTTCCATGGGTCTTACCTCTCTCCTCTCCACAACATCACCCCACCGCCTCCCCCACCAACTTACCTGGATCTGGATCTAAGGACTGCAGTACTGTGTCTAGTTCTGGTCACCCCGTTATAGGAAGGATATTATTAAGCTGCAGAGGGATCAGAACAGATTTACCAGGATGTTGCCGGGAATGGAGGGTTTGAGTTAGAAGGAAAGGCTGGATAGGCTGGGACTTTTTTCACTGGAGCATTGGAGGTTGGGGGATGACCTTATAGAGGTTTATAAAATCATGAGGGATATAGATAAGGTGAATGGCATGTTTCTTTGCCCTTGGATGGTGGATTTCAAGACTGGGGACATATATTTAAGGTGAGAGGAGAAAGATTTTAAAAAGACATGAGGGCAATTTTTTGGTTTTTTTTTTTTTTTTACACAGAGAGTGGTTCACGCGTGGAATGAACTTCCAGAGGATGTTCAGAAGTCATTCAGATACCATTCGGGTAAGTACATGAATAAGAAATGTTTGGAGGGATATGGGCCAAGTGCAGGCAGGTGGGACTAGGTTAGTTTGGGATTATGGTCAGCATAGACTGGTTGGACTGAAGGGTCTGTTTCTGTGCTGTATGACTATGACTAACTGTAGTCCCAGTCTTAGACTTAGACTCCCTACAGTGCAGAAACAGGCCATTCAGCCCAACAAGTCCACACTGACTCTCAGAGCATCCCACTCAGACCCAACCCCCTATAACCCACCTAATCTACACATTTATAGAACATAGAACATAGAACATTACAGTGCAGTACAGGCCCTTCGGCCCTCGATGTTGCGCTGATCTGTGAAACCAATCTGACTAACCTACACTATTCCATTATCATCCATATGTTTATCCAATGACCATTTAAATGCCCTTAAAGTTGGCGAGTCTACTACTGTTGCAGGCAGGGCATTCCACGCCCTCACTACTCTGAGTAAAGAACCTACCTCTGACATCTGTCCTATATCTATCACCCCTCAATTTAAAACTATGTCCCCTCATGCTAGCCATCACCATCCGAGGAAAAAGGCTCTCACTGTCCACCCTATCTAATCCTCCGATCATCTTGTATGTCTCTATCAAGTCACCTCTTAACCTTCTTCTCTAACGAAAACAGCCTCAAGTCCCTCAGCCTTTCCTCATAAGACCTTCCCTCCATATCAGGCAACATCCTGGTAAAATCTCCTCTGCACTCTTTCCAATGCTTCCACATCCTTCCTATAATGCGGCGACCAGAACTGTTCGCAATACTCCAAGTGCGGCCGCACCAGAGTTTTGTACAGCTGCAACATGACCTCATGTCTTCGCAACTCAATCCCTCTACCAATAAAACCTAACACACCGTACGCCTTCTTAACAACCCTATCAACCTGGGTGGCAACTTTCAGGGATCTCTGCACATGGACACCGAGATCTCTCTGCTCATCCACACTACCAAGAATCATAAACACCATGGGCAATTCAGCATGGCCAATCCACCTAACCTGCACATCTTTGGACTGTGGGAGGAAACCGGAGCACTCAGAGGAAACCCAAACAGACACAGGGCGAATGTGCAAACTCCACACAGACAGTCATCCGAGAGTGGAATCAAACCCGGGACCCTGGTGCTGTGAGGCAGCAGTGCTAACCACTGAGGCACCGTGCCACCCAGTCCTGGTGCTACTGTGACAACTAACCTATTGGTCAATCAGATTGGCAGGTAACATGAGAGTAAAGGGCAATCACAAGGTGGGGCTTGGTTTCCATTCGAGGATCCCTTCATCAGAGATAGTAGGAACTGCAGATGCTGGAGAATCTCAGATAACAAGGTGTAGAGCTGGATGAACACAGCAGGCCAAGCAGCATCAGAGGAGCAGGAAGGCTGATGTTTCGGGCCTAGACCCTTCTTCAGAAATGGGGGAGGGGAAGGGGGTTCTGAAATAAATAGGGAGAGAGGGGGAGGCGGATAGAAGATGGATAAGAGAAGAAGATAGGTGGAGAGGAGACAGAAACGTCAAAGAAGCAGGGATGGAGCCAGTAAAGGTGAGTGTAGGTGGGGAGGTAGGGAGGAGACAGGTCAGTCCAGGGAGGACGGACAGGTCAAGGGGGTGGGATGAGGTTAGTAGGTAGGAGATGGGGGTGGGGCTTGAGGTGGGAGGAGGGGATAGGTGGGTGGGAGGAAGGACAGGTTAGGGAGGCGGGGACGAGCTGGGCTGGTTTCGGGATGCGGTAGGGGGAGGGGAGATTTTGAAGCTTGTGAAGTCCACATTGATACCATTGGGCTGCAGGGTTCCCAAGCAGAATATGAGTTGCTGTTCCTGCAACCTTCGGGTGGCATCGTTGTGGCACTGCAGGAGCCCCA